TGACACTTAAAATAAGACACAATATTATAGGTTACTAACTAAAAATTGAAAAAACTACAATAAATAATAAAAAATAATAATAAAAAATTGAAAAAATCAAAAAATTCTTAAAAAATTGAAAATAACCCTTTTTCGGGTTAAAATTGCAAAAAGATGTTACATAAAAATAGTTTGTAAGATTTTCTAACAGCATATATGCAAAGTATTTTGATTTATTTGAAAATAATTGAAAATAGATTTTTCAAGGACGGTGTCGAGGTCACGGGGTCGGTGTCGTTTTTCGAAATTTGTTAACTTAATATAATAGAAGATGTTTCGTTTTAAATTAAGAAATGTTAAAATTATTAAGTTAAAAACATTTGATTTTAATGACACTTAAAATAAGACACAATATTATAGGTTACTAACTAAAAATTGAAAAAACAACAATAAATAATAAAAAATAATAATAAAAAATTGAAAAAATCAAAAAATTCTTAAAAAATTGCAAAATAACCCTTTTTCGGGTTAAAATTGAAAAAAGATGTTACATAAAAATAGTTTGTAAGATTTTCTAACAGCATATATGCAAAGTATTTTGATTTATTTGGAAATAATTGAAAATAGATTTTTCAAGGACGGTGTCGAGGTCACGGGGTCGGTGTCGTTTTTCGAAATTTGTTAACTTAATATAATAGAAGATGTTTCGTTTTAAATTAAGAAATGTTAAAATTATTAAGTTAAAAACATTTGATTTTAATGACACTTAAAATTAGACACAATATTATAGGTTACTAACTAAAATTTGAAAAAACAACAATAAATAATAAAAAATTGAAAAAATTAAAAAATTCTTAAAAAATTGCAAAATAACCCATTTTCGGGTTAAAATTGCAAAAAGATGTTACATAAAAATAGTTTGTAAGATTTTCTAACAGCATATATGCAAAGTATTTTGATTTATTTGAAAATAATTGAAAATAGATTTTTCAAGGACGGTGTCGAGGTCACGGGGTCGGTGTCGTTTTTCGAAATTTGTTAACTTAATATAATAGAAGATGTTTCGTTTTAAATTAAGAAATGTTAAAATTATTAAGTTAAAAACATTTGATTTTAATGACACTTAAAATAAGACACAATATTATAGGTTACTAACTAAAAATTGAAAAAACTACAATAAATAATAAAAAATAATAATAAAAAATTGAAAAAATCAAAAAATTCTTAAAAAATTGAAAATAACCCTTTTTCGGGTTAAAATTGCAAAAAGATGTTACATAAAAATAGTTTGTAAGATTTTCTAACAGCATATATGCAAAGTATTTTGATTTATTTGAAAATAATTGAAAATAGATTTTTCAAGGACGGTGTCGAGGTCACGGGGTCGGTGTCGTTTTTCGAAATTTGTTAACTTAATATAATAGAAGATGTTTCGTTTTAAATTAAGAAATGTTAAAATTATTAAGTTAAAAACATTTGATTTTAATGACACTTAAAATTAGACACAATATTATAGGTTACTAACTAAAAATTGAAAAAACTACAATAAATAATAAAAAATAATAATAAAAAATTGAAAAAATCAAAAAATTCTTAAAAAATTGCAAAATAACCCTTTTTCGGGTTAAAATTGCAAAAAGATGTTACATAAAAATAGTTTGTAAGATTTTCTAACAGCATATATGCAAAGTATTTTGATTTATTTGAAAATAATTGAAAATAGATTTTTCAAGGACGGTGTCGAGGTCACGGGGTCGGTGTCGTTTTTCGAAATTTGTTAACTTAATATAATAGAAGATGTTTCGTTTTAAATTAAGAAATGTTAAAATTATTAAGTTAAAAACATTTGATTTTAATGACACTTAAAATTAGACACAATATTATAGGTTACTAACTAAAAATTGAAAAAACTACAATAAATAATAAAAAATAATAATAAAAAATTGAAAAAATCAAAAAATTCTTAAAAAATTGCAAAATAACCCTTTTTCGGGTTAAAATTGCAAAAAGATGTTACATAAAAATAGTTTGTAAGATTTTCTAACAGCATATATGCAAAGTATTTTGATTTATTTGAAAATAATTGAAAATAGATTTTTCAAGGACGGTGTCGAGGTCACGGGGTCGGTGTCGTTTTTCGAAATTTGTTAACTTAATATAATAGAAGATGTTTCGTTTTAAATTAAGAAATGTTAAAATTATTAAGTTAAAAACATTTGATTTTAATGACACTTAAAATTAGACACAATATTATAGGTTACTAACTAAAATTTGAAAAAACAACAATAAATAATAAAAAATTGAAAAAATTAAAAAATTCTTAAAAAATTGCAAAATAACCCTTTTTCGGGTTAAAATTGCAAAAAGATGTTACATAAAAATAGTTTGTAAGATTTTCTAACAGCATATATGCAAAGTATTTTGATTTATTTGAAAATAATTGAAAATAGATTTTTCAAGGACGGTGTCGAGGTCACGGGGTCGGTGTCGTTTTTCGAAATTTGTTAACTTAATATAATAGAAGATGTTTCGTTTTAAATTAAGAAATGTTAAAATTATTAAGTTAAAAACATTTGATTTTAATGACACTTAAAATAAGACACAATATTATAGGTTACTAACTAAAAATTGAAAAAACTACAATAAATAATAAAAAATAATAATAAAAAATTGAAAAAATCAAAAAATTCTTAAAAAATTGAAAATAACCCTTTTTCGGGTTAAAATTGCAAAAAGATGTTACATAAAAATAGTTTGTAAGATTTTCTAACAGCATATATGCAAAGTATTTTGATTTATTTGAAAATAATTGAAAATAGATTTTTCAAGGACGGTGTCGAGGTCACGGGGTCGGTGTCGTTTTTCGAAATTTGTTAACTTAATATAATAGAAGATGTTTCGTTTTAAATTAAGAAATGTTAAAATTATTAAGTTAAAAACATTTGATTTTAATGACACTTAAAATTAGACACAATATTATAGGTTACTAACTAAAATTTGAAAAAACAACAATAAATAATAAAAAATTGAAAAAATTAAAAAATTCTTAAAAAATTGCAAAATAACCCTTTTTCGGGTTAAAATTGCAAAAAGATGTTACATAAAAATAGTTTGTAAGATTTTCTAACAGCATATATGCAAAGTATTTTGATTTATTTGAAAATAATTGAAAATAGATTTTTCAAGGACGGTGTCGAGGTCACGGGGTCGGTGTCGTTTTTCGAAATTTGTTAACTTAATATAATAGAAGATGTTTCGTTTTAAATTAAGAAATGTTAAAATTATTAAGTTAAAAACATTTGATTTTAATGACACTTAAAATTAAACACAATATTATAGGTTACTAACTAAAATTTGAAAAAACAACAATAAATAATAAAAAATTGAAAAAATTAAAAAATTCTTAAAAAATTGCAAAATAACCCTTTTTCGGGTTAAAATTGCAAAAAGATGTTACATAAAAATAGTTTGTAAGATTTTCTAACAGCATATATGCAAAGTATTTTGATTTATTTGAAAATAATTGAAAATAGATTTTTCAAGGACGGTGTCGAGGTCACGGGGTCGGTGTCGTTTTTCGAAATTTGTTAACTTAATATAATAGAAGATGTTTCGTTTTAAATTAAGAAATGTTAAAATTATTAAGTTAAAAACATTTGATTTTAATGACACTTAAAATAAGACACAATATTATAGGTTACTAACTAAAAATTGAAAAAACTACAATAAATAATAAAAAATAATAATAAAAAATTGAAAAAATCAAAAAATTCTTAAAAAATTGAAAATAACCCTTTTTCGGGTTAAAATTGCAAAAAGATGTTACATAAAAATAGTTTGTAAGATTTTCTAACAGCATATATGCAAAGTATTTTGATTTATTTGAAAATAATTGAAAATAGATTTTTCAAGGACGGTGTCGAGGTCACGGGGTCGGTGTCGTTTTTCGAAATTTGTTAACTTAATATAATAGAAGATGTTTCGTTTTAAATTAAGAAATGTTAAAATTATTAAGTTAAAAACATTTGATTTTAATGACACTTAAAATTAGACACAATATTATAGGTTACTAACTAAAAATTGAAAAAACTACAATAAATAATAAAAAATAATAATAAAAAATTGAAAAAATCAAAAAATTCTTAAAAAATTGCAAAATAACCCTTTTTCGGGTTAAAATTGCAAAAAGATGTTACATAAAAATAGTTTGTAAGATTTTCTAACAGCATATATGCAAAGTATTTTGATTTATTTGAAAATAATTGAAAATAGATTTTTCAAGGACGGTGTCGAGGTCACGGGGTCGGTGTCGTTTTTCGAAATTTGTTAACTTAATATAATAGAAGATGTTTCGTTTTAAATTAAGAAATGTTAAAATTATTAAGTTAAAAACATTTGATTTTAATGACACTTAAAATAAGACACAATATTATAGGTTACTAACTAAAATTTGAAAAAACAACAATAAATAATAAAAAATTGAAAAAATTAAAAAATTCTTAAAAAATTGCAAAATAACCCTTTTTCGGGTTAAAATTGCAAAAAGATGTTACATAAAAATAGTTTGTAAGATTTTCTAACAGCATATATGCAAAGTATTTTGATTTATTTGAAAATAATTGAAAATAGATTTTTCAAGGACGGTGTCGAGGTCACGGGGTCGGTGTCGTTTTTCGAAATTTGTTAACTTAATATAATAGAAGATGTTTCGTTTTAAATTAAGAAATGTTAAAATTATTAAGTTAAAAACATTTGATTTTAATGACACTTAAAATAAGACACAATATTATAGGTTACTAACTAAAAATTGAAAAAACTACAATAAATAATAAAAAATAATAATAAAAAATTGAAAAAATCAAAAAATTCTTAAAAAATTGCAAAATAACCCTTTTTCGGGTTAAAATTGCAAAAAGATGTTACATAAAAATAGTTTGTAAGATTTTCTAACAGCATATATGCAAAGTATTTTGATTTATTTGAAAATAATTGAAAATAGATTTTTCAAGGACGGTGTCGAGGTCACGGGGTCGGTGTCGTTTTTCGAAATTTGTTAACTTAATATAATAGAAGATGTTTCGTTTTAAATTAAGAAATGTTAAAATTATTAAGTTAAAAACATTTGATTTTAATGACACTTAAAATTAGACACAATATTATAGGTTACTAACTAAAAATTGAAAAAACTACAATAAATAATAAAAAATAATAATAAAAAATTGAAAAAATTAAAAAATTCTTAAAAAATTGCAAAATAACCCTTTTTCGGGTTAAAATTGCAAAAAGATGTTACATAAAAATAGTTTGTAAGATTTTCTAACAGCATATATGCAAAGTATTTTGATTTATTTGAAAATAATTGAAAATAGATTTTTCAAGGACGGTGTCGAGGTCACGGGGTCGGTGTCGTTTTTCGAAATTTGTTAACTTAATATAATAGAAGATGTTTCGTTTTAAATTAAGAAATGTTAAAATTATTAAGTTAAAAACATTTGATTTTAATGACACTTAAAATTAGACACAATATTATAGGTTACTAACTAAAAATTGAAAAAACAACAATAAATAATAAAAAATAATAATAAAAAATTGAAAAAATCAAAAAATTCTTAAAAAATTGCAAAATAACCCTTTTTCGGGTTAAAATTGCAAAAAGATGTTACATAAAAATAGTTTGTAAGATTTTCTAACAGCATATATGCAAAGTATTTTGATTTATTTGAAAATAATTGAAAATAGATTTTTCAAGGACGGTGTCGAGGTCACGGGGTCGGTGTCGTTTTTCGAAATTTGTTAACTTAATATAATAGAAGATGTTTCGTTTTAAATTAAGAAATGTTAAAATTATTAAGTTAAAAACATTTGATTTTAATGACACTTAAAATTAGACACAATATTATAGGTTACTAACTAAAAATTGAAAAAACTACAATAAATAATAAAAAATAATAATAAAAAATTGAAAAAATCAAAAAATTCTTAAAAAATTGCAAAATAACCCTTTTTCGGGTTAAAATTGCAAAAAGATGTTACATAAAAATAGTTTGTAAGATTTTCTAACAGCATATATGCAAAGTATTTTGATTTATTTGAAAATAATTGAAAATAGATTTTTCAAGGACGGTGTCGAGGTCACGGGGTCGGTGTCGTTTTTCGAAATTTGTTAACTTAATATAATAGAAGATGTTTCGTTTTAAATTAAGAAATGTTAAAATTATTAAGTTAAAAACATTTGATTTTAATGACACTTAAAATAAGACACAATATTATAGGTTACTAACTAAAATTTGAAAAAACAACAATAAATAATAAAAAATTGAAAAAATTAAAAAATTCTTAAAAAATTGCAAAATAACCCTTTTTCGGGTTAAAATTGCAAAAAGATGTTACATAAAAATAGTTTGTAAGATTTTCTAACAGCATATATGCAAAGTATTTTGATTTATTTGAAAATAATTGAAAATAGATTTTTCAAGGACGGTGTCGAGGTCACGGGGTCGGTGTCGTTTTTCGAAATTTGTTAACTTAATATAATAGAAGATGTTTCGTTTTAAATTAAGAAATGTTAAAATTATTAAGTTAAAAACATTTGATTTTAATGACACTTAAAATTAGACACAATATTATAGGTTACTAACTAAAAATTGAAAAAACTACAATAAATAATAAAAAATAATAATAAAAAATTGAAAAAATCAAAAAATTCTTAAAAAATTGCAAAATAACCCTTTTTCGGGTTAAAATTGCAAAAAGATGTTACATAAAAATAGTTTGTAAGATTTTCTAACAGCATATATGCAAAGTATTTTGATTTATTTGAAAATAATTGAAAATAGATTTTTCAAGGACGGTGTCGAGGTCACGGGGTCGGTGTCGTTTTTCGAAATTTGTTAACTTAATATAATAGAAGATGTTTCGTTTTAAATTAAGAAATGTTAAAATTATTAAGTTAAAAACATTTGATTTTAATGACACTTAAAATTAGACACAATATTATAGGTTACTAACTAAAATTTGAAAAAACAACAATAAATAATAAAAAATTGAAAAAATTAAAAAATTCTTAAAAAATTGCAAAATAACCCTTTTTCGGGTTAAAATTGCAAAAAGATGTTACATAAAAATAGTTTGTAAGATTTTCTAACAGCATATATGCAAAGTATTTTGATTTATTTGAAAATAATTGAAAATAGATTTTTCAAGGACGGTGTCGAGGTCACGGGGTCGGTGTCGTTTTTCGAAATTTGTTAACTTAATATAATAGAAGATGTTTCGTTTTAAATTAAGAAATGTTAAAATTATTAAGTTAAAAACATTTGATTTTAATGACACTTAAAATTAGACACAATATTATAGGTTACTAACTAAAAATTGAAAAAACTACAATAAATAATAAAAAATAATAATAAAAAATTGAAAAAATCAAAAAATTCTTAAAAAATTGCAAAATAACCCTTTTTCGGGTTAAAATTGCAAATAGATGTTACATAAAAATAGTTTGTAAGATTTTCTAACAGCATATATGCAAAGTATTTTGATTTATTTGAAAATAATTGAAAATAGATTTTTCAAGGACGGTGTCGAGGTCACGGGGTCGGTGTCGTTTTTCGAAATTTGTTAACTTAATATAATAGAAGATGTTTCGTTTTAAATTAAGAAATGTTAAAATTATTAAGTTAAAAACATTTGATTTTAATGACACTTAAAATTAGACACAATATTATAGGTTACTAACTAAAATTTGAAAAAACAACAATAAATAATAAAAAATTGAAAAAATTAAAAAATTCTTAAAAAATTGCAAAATAACCCTTTTTCGGGTTAAAATTGCAAAAAGATGTTACATAAAAATAGTTTGTAAGATTTTCTAACAGCATATATGCAAAGTATTTTGATTTATTTGAAAATAATTGAAAATAGATTTTTCAAGGACGGTGTCGAGGTCACGGGGTCGGTGTCGTTTTTCGAAATTTGTTAACTTAATATAATAGAAGATGTTTCATTTTAAATTAAGAAATGATAAAATTATTAAGTTAAAAACATTTGATTTTAATGACACTTAAAATTAGACACAATATTATAGGTTACTAACTAAAAATTGAAAAAACAACAATAAATAATAAAAAATAATAATAAAAAATTGAAAAAATCAAAAAATTCTTAAAAAATTGCAAAATAACCCTTTTTCGGGTTAAAATTGAAAAAAGATGTTACATAAAAATAGTTTGTAAGATTTTCTAACAGCATATATGCAAAGTATTTTGATTTATTTGAAAATAATTGAAAATAGATTTTTCAAGGACGGTGTCGAGGTCACGGGGTCGGTGTCGTTTTTCGAAATTTGTTAACTTAATATAATAGAAGATGTTTCATTTTAAATTAAGAAATGATAAAATTATTAAGTTAAAAACATTTGATTTTAATGACACTTAAAATTAGACACAATATCATAGGTTACTAACTAAAAATTGAAAAAACAACAATAAATAATAAAAAATAATAATAAAAAATTGAAAAAATCAAAAAATTCTAAAAAAATTGCAAAATAACCCTTTTTCGGGTTAAAATTGCAAAAAGATGTTACATAAAAATAGTTTGTAAGATTTTCTAACAGCATATATGCAAAGTATTTTGATTTATTTGAAAATAATTGAAAATAGATTTTTCAAGGACGGTGTCGAGGTCACGGGGTCGGTGTCGTTTTTCGAAATTTGTTAACTTAATATAATAGAAGATGTTTCGTTTTAAATTAAGAAATGTTAAAATTATTAAGTTAAAAACATTTGATTTTAATGACACTTAAAATAAGACACAATATTATAGGTTACTAACTAAAATTTGAAAAAACAACAATAAATAATAAAAAATTGAAAAAATTAAAAAATTCTTAAAAAATTGCAAAATAACCCTTTTTCGGGTTAAAATTGCAAAAAGATGTTACATAAAAATAGTTTGTAAGATTTTCTAACAGCATATATGCAAAGTATTTTGATTTATTTGAAAATAATTGAAAATAGATTTTTCAAGGACGGTGTCGAGGTCACGGGGTCGGTGTCGTTTTTCGAAATTTGTTAACTTAATATAATAGAAGATGTTTCATTTTAAATTAAGAAATGATAAAATTATTAAGTTAAAAACATTTGATTTTAATGACACTTAAAATTAGACACAATATTATAGGTTACTAACTAAAAATTGAAAAAACAACAATAAATAATAAAAAATAATAATAAAAAATTGAAAAAATCAAAAAATTCTTAAAAAATTGCAAAATAACCCTTTTTCGGGTTATAATTGAAAAAAGATGTGACATAAAAATAGTTTGTAAGATTTTCTAACAGCATATATGCAAAGTATTTTGATTTATTTGAAAATAATTGAAAATAGATTTTTCAAGGACGGTGTCGAGGTCACGGGGTCGGTGTCGTTTTTCGAAATTTGTTAACTTAATATAATAGAAGATGTTTCATTTTAAATTAAGAAATGATAAAATTATTAAGTTAAAAACATTTGATTTTAATGACACTTAAAATTAGACACAATATCATAGGTTACTAACTAAAAATTGAAAAAACAACAATAAATAATAAAAAATAATAATAAAAAATTGAAAAAATCAAAAAATTCTAAAAAAATTGCAAAATAACCCTTTTTCGGGTTAAAAATGCAAAAAGATGTTACATAAAAATAGTTTGTAAGATTTTCTAACAGCATATATGCAAAGTATTTTGATTTATTTGAAAATAATTGAAAATAGATTTTTCAAGGACGGTGTCGAGGTCACGGGGTCGGTGTCGTTTTTCGAAATTTGTTAACTTAATATAATAGAAGATGTTTCGTTTTAAATTAAGAAATGTTAAAATTATTAAGTTAAAAACATTTGATTTTAATGACACTTAAAATTAGACACAATATTATAGGTTACTAACTAAAAATTGAAAAAACTACAATAAATAATAAAAAATAATAATAAAAAATTGAAAAAATCAAAAAATTCTTAAAAAATTGCAAAATAACCCTTTTTCGGGTTAAAATTGCAAAAAGATGTTACATAAAAATAGTTTGTAAGATTTTCTAACAGCATATATGCAAAGTATTTTGATTTATTTGAAAATAATTGAAAATAGATTTTTCAAGGACGGTGTCGAGGTCACGGGGTCGGTGTCGTTTTTCGAAATTTGTTAACTTAATATAATAGAAGATGTTTCGTTTTAAATTAAGAAATGTTAAAATTATTAAGTTAAAAACATTTGATTTTAATGACACTTAAAATAAGACACAATATTATAGGTTACTAACTAAAATTTGAAAAAACAACAATAAATAATAAAAAATTGAAAAAATTAAAAAATTCTTAAAAAATTGCAAAATAACCCTTTTTCGGGTTAAAATTGCAAAAAGATGTTACATAAAAATAGTTTGTAAGATTTTCTAACAGCATATATGCAAAGTATTTTGATTTATTTGAAAATAATTGAAAATAGATTTTTCAAGGACGGTGTCGAGGTCACGGGGTCGGTGTCGTTTTTCGAAATTTGTTAACTTAATATAATAGAAGATGTTTCATTTTAAATTAAGAAATGATAAAATTATTAAGTTAAAAACATTTGATTTTAATGACACTTAAAATTAGACACAATATTATAGGTTACTAACTAAAAATTGAAAAAACAACAATAAATAATAAAAAATAATAATAAAAAATTGAAAAAATCAAAAAATTCTTAAAAAATTGCAAAATAACCCTTTTTCGGGTTAAAATTGAAAAAAGATGTTACATAAAAATAGTTTGTAAGATTTTCTAACAGCATATATGCAAAGTATTTTGATTTATTTGGAAATAATTGAAAATAAATTTTTCAAGGACGGTGTCGAGGTCACGGGGTCGGTGTCGTTTTTCGAAATTTGTTAACTTAATATAATAGAAGATGTTTCGTTTTAAATTAAGAAATGTTAAAATTATTAAGTTAAAAACATTTGATTTTAATGACACTTAAAATTAGACACAATATTATAGGTTACTAACTAAAAATTGAAAAAACTACAATAAATAATAAAAAATAATAATAAAAAATTGAAAAAATCAAAAAATTCTTAAAAAATTGCAAAATAACCCTTTTTCGGGTTAAAATTGCAAAAAGATGTTACATAAAAATAGTTTGTAAGATTTTCTAACAGCATATATGCAAAGTATTTTGATTTATTTGAAAATAATTGAAAATAGATTTTTCAAGGACGGTGTCGAGGTCACGGGGTCGGTGTCGTTTTTCGAAATTTGTTAACTTAATATAATAGAAGATGTTTCGTTTTAAATTAAGAAATGTTAAAATTATTAAGTTAAAAACATTTGATTTTAATGACACTTAAAATTAGACACAATATTATAGGTTACTAACTAAAATTTGAAAAAACAACAATAAATAATAAAAAATTGAAAAAATTAAAAAATTCTTAAAAAATTGCAAAATAACCCTTTTTCGGGTTAAAATTGCAAAAAGATGTTACATAAAAATAGTTTGTAAGATTTTCTAACAGCATATATGCAAAGTATTTTGATTTATTTGAAAATAATTGAAAATAGATTTTTCAAGGACGGTGTCGAGGTCACGGGGTCGGTGTCGTTTTTCGAAATTTGTTAACTTAATATAATAGAAGATGTTTCGTTTTAAATTAAGAAATGTTAAAATTATTAAGTTAAAAACATTTGATTTTAATGACACTTAAAATAAGACACAATATTATAGGTTACTAACTAAAAATTGAAAAAACTACAATAAATAATAAAAAATAATAATAAAAAATTGAAAAAATCAAAAAATTCTTAAAAAATTGAAAATAACCCTTTTTCGGGTTAAAATTGCAAAAAGATGTTACATAAAAATAGTTTGTAAGATTTTCTAACAGCATATATGCAAAGTATTTTGATTTATTTGAAAATAATTGAAAATAGATTTTTCAAGGACGGTGTCGAGGTCACGGGGTCGGTGTCGTTTTTCGAAATTTGTTAACTTAATATAATAGAAGATGTTTCGTTTTAAATTAAGAAATGTTAAAATTATTAAATTAAAAACATTTGATTTTAATGACACTTAAAATTAGACACAATATTATAGGTTACTAACTAAAAATTGAAAAAACTACAATAAATAATAAAAAATAATAATAAAAAATTGAAAAAATCAAAAAATTCTTAAAAAATTGCAAAATAACCCTTTTTCGGGTTAAAATTGCAAAAAGATGTTACATAAAAATAGTTTGTAAGATTTTCTAACAGCATATATGCAAAGTATTTTGATTTATTTGAAAATAATTGAAAATAGATTTTTCAAGGACGGTGTCGAGGTCACGGGGTCGGTGTCGTTTTTCGAAATTTGTTAACTTAATATAATAGAAGATGTTTCGTTTTAAATTAAGAAATGTTAAAATTATTAAGTTAAAAACATTTGATTTTAATGACACTTAAAATTAGACACAATATTATAGGTTACTAACTAAAATTTGAAAAAACAACAATAAATAATAAAAAATTGAAAAAATTAAAAAATTCTTAAAAAATTGCAAAATAACCCTTTTTCGGGTTAAAATTGCAAAAAGATGTTACATAAAAATAGTTTGTAAGATTTTCTAACAGCATATATGCAAAGTATTTTGATTTATTTGAAAATAATTGAAAATAGATTTTTCAAGGACGGTGTCGAGGTCACGGGGTCGGTGTCGTTTTTCGAAATTTGTTAACTTAATATAATAGAAGATGTTTCATTTTAAATTAAGAAATGATAAAATTATTAAGTTAAAAACATTTGATTTTAATGACACTTAAAATTAGACACAATATTATAGGTTACTAACTAAAAATTGAAAAAACAACAATAAATAATAAAAAATAATAATAAAAAATTGAAAAAATCAAAAAATTCTTAAAAAATTGCAAAATAACCCTTTTTCGGGTTATAATTGAAAAAAGATGTGACATAAAAATAGTTTGTAAGATTTTCTAACAGCATATATGCAAAGTATTTTGATTTATTTGAAAATAATTGAAAATAGATTTTTCAAGGACGGTGTCGAGGTCACGGGGTCGGTGTCGTTTTTCGAAATTTGTTAACTTAATATAATAGAAGATGTTTCGTTTTAAATTAAGAAATGTTAAAATTATTAAGTTAAAAACATTTGATTTTAATGACACTTAAAATTAGACACAATATCATAGGTTACTAACTAAAAATTGAAAAAACAACAATAAATAATAAAAAATAATAATAAAAAATTGAAAAAATCAAAAAATTCTAAAAAAATTGCAAAATAACCCTTTTTCGGGTTAAAATTGCAAAATAACCCTTTTTCGGGTTAAAATTGAAAAAAGATGTTACATAAAAATAGTTTGTAAGATTTTCTAACAGCATATATGCAAAGTATTTTGATTTATTTGGAAATAATTGAAAATAAATTTTTCAAGGACGGTGTCGAGGTCACGGGGTTGGTGTCGTTTTTCGAAATTTGTTAACTTAATATAATAGAAGATGTTTCGTTTTAAATTAAGAAATGTTAAAATTATTAAGTTAAAAACATTTGATTTTAATGACACTTAAAATTAGACACAATATTATAGGTTACTAACTAAAAATTGAAAAAACTACAATAAATAATAAAAAATAATAATAAAAAATTGAAAAAATCAAAAAATTCTTAAAAAATTGCAAAATAACCCTTTTTCGGGTTAAAATTGCAAAAAGATGTTACATAAAAATAGTTTGTAAGATTTTCTAACAGCATATATGCAAAGTATTTTGATTTATTTGAAAATAATTGAAAATAGATTTTTCAAGGACGGTGTCGAGGTCACGGGGTCGGTGTCGTTTTTCGAAATTTGTTAACTTAATATAATAGAAGATGTTTCGTTTTAAATTAAGAAATGTTAAAATTATTAAGTTAAAAACATTTGATTTTAATGACACTTAAAATTAGACACAATATTATAGGTTACTAACTAAAATTTGAAAAAACAACAATAAATAATAAAAAATTGAAAAAATTAAAAAATTCTTAAAAAATTGCAAAATAACCCTTTTTCGGGTTAAAATTGCAAAAAGATGTTACATAAAAATAGTTTGTAAGATTTTCTAACAGCATATATGCAAAGTATTTTGATTTATTTGAAAATAATTGAAAATAGATTTTTCAAGGACGGTGTCGAGGTCACGGGGTCGGTGTCGTTTTTCGAAATTTGTTAACTTAATATAATAGAAGATTTTAAAAAGTTTTGAAAATTTTAATTTGAATGTAAAAAATTAATTCTGAAAAAATGTAATATATTTGAAATTGTATTTGAAAAAAATTGAAAATTAATTTTAAAAGATTGAAACTTAAAAAAATTGAAACTAAAAAAAAATTGTAATAAATTTGAAGAAATTGGAAAAAATTATTCATTAATATTGAAGGGGTTAGCATTTCAAATATTTACTTTTTTCCATAATGCACTTGATTTTTGCACATCTTTTTCAGCTGCATTTAATAATTTCGTAAGGTCATCCCACAAATCATCCTAGAATTTTCAAGAATAAAAATATTTTATATCACCCAACATTTTTTCCATAATTTTTATTGTATTTTTTATTTTACCTTTTTATTTAAAATTTTATAAAAATTGTTGAATCAAAAGTTGTACTATTAAAGCAATATAATTTAAATAACTTTAAGAAGTAAAATTAATTTTAATTTCAAATAATTATTTGTTTATTTGGAATAGAAAGTTACGTCACCATTTTTCCCTTGTAATCACTTCCATGTTTTACTTTTCCGCTTGCTAAATCTTTATGCTCCATCATAAAACGTAACATAATTTTTCTTTGATTTACCGAGCATCTTGCTAGTAGCATTTTGTCTATAATTGTTGATAAATGTACTACAAATCAATTCAATTAATGACTTGTGAACTGATGACAGAAAAATGACAATATTACTGACAGAAAAATTGCAAGCGAAAGCTGAACAAAAGTGAATCAAACAAAAGTCAATAAATTTTCATAGATTCATATGTAAAAATTTTTCATTGTTATTTAATTTTATTCTAATTGTGGAATTTTTTCAATTTATTAATAAAAATATTTAGCTACATACAAAAAAATGTATTTTATGAATAAATGAGACATTTTTTAAGAATCATTTTCAAATAACTATTAAATTGTAAACTTTAAAATGATAAAAATATTTTTGTAGTAAAAATTATTAAAAAAAAATCATCAGTAAAAATAAAAAATAAATTAAACATTTATTATATTGAGAATTTATAAAAAGAAACAAAAATTTGAAGTGGAATAAAACATTTAACCAAAAAAAATCTATCCTATTTTTTTTTGGTTTGATAAATAGTTTGGAAGGAATTTAATTGCGATCGTACTAACTGGTTCTGTAATAAATTTATATAAAAAATATCAAAATTTCTAAAAGGTATTAACGTGTGCTATGAGACGCTAAAAATAAAAATATTTGTATGCTTAACATCAAACAAAAGTAAATGACAAACTGTAACAATTTACATCAAAATAACTTGGTCCAAAGATTTGTGCTTATTCTTTAGTACTGTATCGATCGTACGTAGACGTTTCTTGATAACATTTTTGATAGAGGTATACGATTTTATAAAAAAATTTCCTATATCTTATAAGAGGATCATATTCAAAACTAATTTCATTCGTATAACTTTTTTTTTTAAATAATTATTCGTTTATTAGAAAAGCATAAGATCAAGAGTCAGACCAATTATTATCTTTTGATAAATTTAATTTAAAGTATACAAAAATTAAATTTGACATCTTAGGTTTGCCGGGACCTTTCAAGATATTTTGACTGAAACCAATAAATTCTTTAAAAAATTCTTTTAAAGAAATAATTCATTCATATTTTTATTTACTTTTTATTTCATTGTTATTTAATTTTATTCTAATTGTGGAATTTTTTCAATTTATTAATAAAAATATGAAAACTAAATAAATTTAACAGTTACCAATCAAGGCTTTAAATTGAGTTGAGTAAAACATAAAAAACGACGAAAAATTTTTGTTTCACAATGAAAAAGCATTTTAATTTCTGTTATTTTGAGCCTCTTATCTAATTACGTTTTTCAGGAATCTAAAATTATGAAAAATATGTGGACGTCCGAATGAAAAGGTACCACTTTAGCAGTATTGAACTTATCTACATAAGCGTATTCTTGACGAAATTTGGAAAATTTTAAGCGTTCTTAGAAATCTTTAAGTGAAAAAACTGCGGAGTTTCAGCATTTAAAATTTTAGAATGCCAAAAACCTCATTTTGAAAAAAAAAAGATTGAAGTACAAATATCTCGGTTAGTTCTGGCAAGTTATTTACGTTATAACTTTTTTGAGCTTCTCTGATGACAAACATATTGTATATGGATATTACTACATGAAAGAGTTGAAAATTTCATAATTTAACATAAAAATGAAAACAATCACGATGATTAATTGATGCAAATTTTAATAAATGTTAAGCTTTATAAATACAAGGTACCATAAATCTTTAAATTAAATATTCAATTAGTAAAACTTTACTTTTAAATTATAAACTCATTTTTTATACAAATTATCATTAATTTTATCAAAAATGTGAAGTTGTACTTTGTCTTTCTTTTTCTGATACTCTAACGCATCAGACATTATTTTCAACTTTTTTTGTTTCAAAGCAATTACGCATCTTTGATAATCCGTAAATTTTTTAGTGTTCAAAATTCTTTTCTTTCCTTTTGATCCTAAAAAATTAAAATATTTTTTTTTAGTAAATTTTAAGAATTATTAATCAAGAAAAACTTTTTTTAACCCTACTTGATACAATTCCATATAATCACATCGCGTTCCGTTGGACTCAAAATGGGAAAATTTATTTTAAAAGACTTAATTATTTTTACTAGCCAAATTTTGAAATTTATTAAAGAATTACTTTTAAGAATAATGTATGTTATATAGACAAAAATTAAATTTATTAGGTAACTTAAAAAAATGTTAAAGTCAAAGAAGAAAAAAATGAAAAAATCATTAATTTTAAACATATATATATACGCAATATTTATTATATTAAATAAAATAAAAAAATTTTATGAAAAATATTAGAAAAATAAAAGTGCAGAAAATTTGACCTCGGGCTCGATAAGTAAGGGTTAAAAGTATAATATGATATTATTTAGTACATTTTATTATTGATTAAGTACCGGTGAAATTTTAAACTTTCATTTATATTGTTGACATGAGTCAATTTTTTTGGGCAAAATTTTAAATTTAAAATTATTCTATAATATCCAAATTTGAAAAATATTATTTTTTATCATTTTTATTTTTTGAAACAATAAAAATATTTAAAAAGCTATACACTTAATTATTTAGAGGCGTAAAAAAAGTTTTCTAAAAAGTGAACAATAAAAAATTTAAAAAATTGTAGAGAATTGTAATTTGTAAAGAAGAGCAACTAGAATTTCAACCAATTAAAAG